GCTAAAATATGACAACGAAAAAATGACGAACCGTTTTTGACAGCCTATCCTATCATTTTTTGGGCAACTTTTCGACAGGATGCACCTGTCCAATAAAGTTGTCATTCTTTCGAATCACGCGCCGACGTTGCTGGCACACACACACACAAGCATCGCCAACGTGGAAGTGGCTGCCATCGCTGGCACTCCTCGCTGGCGGTGGGAGTGCCACTCGCTTGACTCCACCCTACATCAGCAGCCTGGGCTCTCTTCCCATGGCCGAAACCGGTGTGGGTGATGTCCTGCTACCAGCAACCGCTCTTGTTGCTGTGGCCTTGGTCGCCCTTGATGAGGTCCAACGCAACGACTAGTCGCAAGAAGAGGAGGAGGATCGTGCGCCCGACCTTCCCCGCCCTAAACTCTCAAGAGGACAGCGAAAGAGGAAAGACGTGGAGAAATGCGCTTGGGCACAGAAAGGTAAACTACGCGGGGTGCAGCAAGCACGTTCTGGACGTTGCTCTGGGGCACTGGGTAGTCGGCCGTGTTAGGCCGAGAGAGAGAGGTTGAGAGAGAGTTGGAGAGAGAGTGGGAGAAGGAAACTTGATTGGAGAGAGACGGTGGTGGTGGTGGAGAGAGAGGGAAGAAGAAGAGGAAGAAGTAGCAGCACGCACGCAAGCCTTCCTCATCATCACACCGACCACGCCCAAAGGGTCCCCGTGACTGCGCCGGTGGTACCCTTCAACACACGAACTTCCCAACACGTGTTCCCCTGGGATCCTCACGACAAGATACTGCTGCAAGTATACCTAACATTCCCCCTGCTCGCTACAGTTTCTCACTGAAAACTTGGCTAACACCCGACATCTCAACCAAAAGACGTCTTTCCCAGAATATATACCATGAAGACTTGACCAGAATAGTATAAGAGAGAAAAACAATTCAATGAAACATGAATGCTGCATCGCGCTTAACAAATACTTGGCGCGGGAAATGAAACAAAACGGGAAACCGAACAAGACCAAAACACAACCCATCAGAAAAACAATAAATAAAATATTCATGCCAAATTCATTACAAAATCATCACGGTGAGATTCGAAAGCATCCTTCGACAAACTCTTCGTGAGAAAGTCTGCACGCTGGTACGGCGACGGCACGTGGATGGCCGAAATTTCCTTCCTCTCTACCAGTTCCCTGAGAAAATGATGCCTTACATCTATGTGCTTCGAGTTCGAGTTTGAGATGGGGTTCTGCGCTAGTTGAATCGCCCCCTGGTTGTCCTCGAAGATGGGGGGATGCACGGCATGCCGACCTGCGGCAACATGAAACGCCAAATCTGCCTCAAAAACAAAATCTCCTTCACTACGTCACCTAGGGCGACGTACTCTGCTTCGGTGGTCGAAAGCGTGACACACTTCTGCGTTCTGGAAAACCAAGACACAGCGCCTCCTCCACACGTCACAATCCCCCCTGATACCGACCTACGGTCTGCTGCCTTGCTTGCAAAGTCCGCATCAGCGTACCCCTGCAAGCTTAATCCCTTCACCGTAACTCTCTGAAACGAAAGACCAAAGTGACTCGTCCTCCTCGCATAGCCTAAAATATCCATCGCTGCATTCCAGTGTACCAGCTTCGGAGATGCGCA